CTAGATCCTGAATGGAGAGGAGCCTCAAAATTTAGTCTTTTAAGTAAAAAAAGCATATGAAATAAAACTTTTTTCGATAAGAGGTAGAAAAAATTATTTTATTAATCTTATTTATATATTTTTATGACTTTCAGAGAGAGATAGGACCTAAGGCCAAATTTACTAACAACCTAAACAAGTTACAGTATAAGGCTTTAAAATTTATTATTATTATTTAAAACGAGAAGCCTCTTAATTTTTTATTTTACAGGAAAACCAAGCATAAATGAGGTCCTACCAGGGCCTCATTTATATTTGTACTTTATATTTGTGTCAGGTTAGAGCCCTCATCTCACCCCACTCAAGCCTTGTGAAATACTATTCTATCTGTTTTGATAGAGTCAACAAAAGCCAATATTTAAATAATGTTGATTATTAGATACTATATAAAATATTTAAGATAAATCTTATTTTTTTTATTTAAAATGTTAAATTAATATAAAAAGTGTATCAATGATAATTATCTATATATTTATTTCAGTGTAATATTTTGAAATGTTTTTAATAAATATTATTCATTAAACATAAATGAATTAAATATAATTGGTTTATATTTTATTTTGAATTTGAGATTTAAAATTAAAAAATATTAAATTTTTTATTTTATTGTTTTATTATTTTATCTTTAAGAATATTCTCTCTGTTTTCAGAGGTTAAAAATAGATTCAACTGAATATAAGGAAAACATAAGATTTAATCCAAGAGAGAATAGAATCCAATTTCTTCTAAAAATAAAACTGCAGATATGAAACAACACATCATTTTTCCACAATATTTTAATTAGCATTTAGTTTTGTTTATTCTTTTAAAATTTCAATACAGTGTTCTTTTTAATTATAACTAAGATTTTTTATATAAAATTCAGATCTATTTATATTTAAAATATTGAAAATTAATAGTAAATTTTCTGAATGTTTTGCTAAATTTCAATTTATCAATATGCCTTATTTTATTAAATCATAGTCTACATACAGTATATAAAATAGAATGTCTGTTTGTCTGTTCTCTATACACTTCTAAACCTTTTTACTGATCAACACCAGATTATTTATAATTATTTTCTAAGACCCCGCGAAAAATATAGACTACCATAAAATCTGGACATTCTACTTCAGCCCCTGTAGGCTAAAATAACTAAACTTTTAATATGGTTTTCATTTTAATGTTTGTACTGTACTTACTAATGTTTTGTCCGGCAGTGCTGGGCTCATCTGCTAGTATATAATATAATAATAAATTGTTTTATTTATATATTTACTTTTCATAGTTTCTCAGTACCCTTTTGGGACCTTCTCTCTTCTTTCTTATCCCTCACTCTCTACTTTTCTTCAGGTAGACCCTTGAATTGGCTTTACTATCTAATAATAATCTAGCTGTAAGAAGGAAATGTTATCTTTCATAATATAAGTAAATTCAATTTGTTATTATCTGCTTCTTGTAGTAAAATCTAGTAAATCTAGTAAAAAAATATATTACATCTTCTTCAATTAATAAATTCAAAGCTTTTTTTCTATTTTGCATTATTTCGTAGAATAAGAATGGAGCCGATATGCTGAATCCTAAATGTGTATCACTCCGCCGCCGTAGTTTAAAAAATTCAAAAATTCAAACATCACGTCACGTATGACATCGAGTGACATTTTTTGTTTTTTGTAATCTTAAATTTCTTGCAAAAATGTCGAAACTTTTAATAGATTATAACAGTTTAACATATCTTATAATTTTCTGATATATGTTCTGTGGATATCAAGTTCTGCTTCGTAATGAATACGGAACTATTTTCATTCGCATATGTAGACTTTGTTATTCTGGGAAAGCCTATATTCATGTATCAAACCTATTGTTTTAGGACGTTTTCAAAATATCAAATGTGTGTTTTCTCTCGAGTATTTTTCAAGAACAAAAATCAAATTTAAATTTTAATTGATTCAAAATGTATTTGATTTTATGCTTGGGCTTCAATCGTTTTAATTGTAAAGTCCGACCCATAATGGGGTCGTCATTATGGTGAGAGATGAAGAATGACGTTCCTACTATGATGGCATTTCAAACCAGAAGCCAATTCCATTGCATTTGCCCACAAGCTTTCTTCATCTTCCTCTATCCCTTCATGCATTTTTGTTGATTCCTGTTTTGTCTGCATCCTTTTTTACTGAGTCTAGCCATCTTGATCTAAGTCTTTTTCGTATTTTCTTTTCAGCGAAATTCTTCTTTACTTTTCTTTTATTATTAGCACTAGATCTCGTCTTATTACATGGCTTTACCACTGTAACCTTTTTCTTCGATAATCGTAACAATACAGATCTCCTAGTTCATTGTTTTTTCCTTCTTTTCCATTCTTTACTTAACTTTAACTAGTCCAAAATTTTGTATAAAACAGTATAAGATTTTCAATAAAATAATTGAAATAAATAAGGCTTATTTTAAATATTATAGAAGAAAATATTGCAGAATTGCTTATTTACTATTGCAGCATTATCTTACCTAACATATACGTTAAATACTACAGAAATTGTGCATCTTCCTAAGAAAATTGTCCACTGAACAGAATAGTTCCAATTTTTAAATTTAAAACATAAATGACAAATAATACGGAAATTAAAGGTTTGTTTCATTATTTTATTATAAAATATATATGATTTATTTTATAATAAATAACGTCACTAAACAATAAGCATTAGTTATATTTCTCAGATAATTTCGACGAATTGATTACTCGTTTGATGAATCATTATCGAACGTAGATAATTCTTTGTTTTAACAACGATTTCATTTTATCTGTAAAGTTTCGCTAATGACTTTATTTTTTTTAACCTTATTTTTCTCGCGATGAAAGGTTCCTAAAACAAAAAACAACCGTATTATTGTTCAACTAAACACTAATAGAATTTTTTCATTTATAATACTCTTCAATAATGGGTCATAACATAGAAAGATATATTTTTATCCTCTTTTCTTGATGTTTCCTGTTAGAAACTAATTAAAAAACTACTGAAGACTAAAATTTACATTAGCATTAAATTATTTTATAGAAGACAATATTTTATTAAATTAAATTTAAAAGTTTTTCTTTAAATTATTATTAAAATTATTTAAATAATTTCAGATAAAAATAGAATAATATAATAAAATGTGAAATATATTAAAATTATAAGGTATATAATGCTTCAGGCTAATTATTATTACTGTACCTAATATATACAGGCAAACCTTCGAATAACGGCCAATGATAGAAACATAAAAGATGGTCGCCGTTTAGAGGTTCGACTGCAGATCCAGATTTACGTATAAGATAAGCTATAGCTTGGGGCCTCGCATTATGAGGGGTATCGTTATATATATATATCTCATTACTATTTGATAGAGGAAGGCCTTTTGTTGTTGTAGTGTAGGGCTACAATAAGTCTAAATCCGGATCTGTTCCACTATGTATATAAAGTGTGTGTCTGTGAGTAATGATATACATAATATTTATGTATTTATTTATTTTACTTTATTTTATTGCTAAATTATTGTTTTATAAAAAGAAAATAATATATATATATATATAGCATTATTATTATCATCAACAGCAGCATCCATTTTCAAACCACTGATTCTCAATCTCAATCCATTTTCAATCCACTGATTCTCCAAATACCTTTCAACTACGCCTGTCCAATATATAAATACATACATACATAAGCCAAAGTCTTACATAGTTCTTGACCTCTATTAAGAACTACATAGCACATCTATATTAGGATAATCTTCAAAAATATAAATTTAAACGTTAACTGCAATTACATAAAAATAAACCTTGAATATATATCGAATTGAAGAACTATAATTTATAATTATACATACATAAACATACAGTAAAGGATTTATTAACTATGTTTTTAATATCTAAATTCTTACTTTGTGTAAGCTTACTAATTATTATAAAATAAAAAAATTCATTATATAAATACACAATGAAAGTACTTAGGGCCCCTATAATGCTTATCTTAAAATATCCAAATTTACAGTTTAAAAAAAAAAATTATTTTCACACTTAAATTTCCTTTGAAAGCTTGTATGAGGCCCGAAGAGTGGATGCGGTCCTTTCTTTTTATTGAAAGAAATACGCAGAGTGTTTCTTTATTAATAAAAAGCAATCTTAACACTTTTATTTCTTGTTAGTAAAAATGACATTAAGTTATATGACCAGGAAACACTATGGACTCGAAGAAAAATCCCAGCTTCCCCTCTCGACGGCCTGATAATGTATTATTGATTTAATTATAAAATAGGAATTTGCTAGAATATTAATTAATTCCATTAGATCTATTTTCTTCTTACATATTTTAACACTTATCAGATTATATCGATTTATGAATCAAGGATCTTCGCTTTATACTTGTCTTCTTCGTTCTTACTCAAAGAACTCTTATAAAGTTGTATGCACACGATTTCTACATCTTTCACTTTTTTAAAACATCCTTTTAACGCTTACTTCCATTCGAAAATTTCCTCGTTTATTCAAAATTGTTAAATTAAATTACTTTAAAATATTGTTAAATTAATTATACGTAATTATTATAACAAATAATTATTTACCAATATTGTTAAATTAAATTACTTAAAAATATTCAAAAATTATTCATTTTTGGGATCAAATTTGGTACAATTTAAATTATAAAAAATAACCTAATTTAATTAATAATTTATATAAAAATGGATTTAAATTTTAAAATAAACTAATTAGAATAAGAAAAGTTTTAAAATGTTTTAAATGTTTGTACGCTTGAGAATTTATTCTTGAATAATTTGTACGAAATTCGAAATTACTTATTTATGTTTAAAACAATTTTAATCTATCAAAATGACAAGAGAACAATAGGAAAATATTAAAAATTTTATCGTGGATTAACATGACACTAATTTCTAATAACGAAAAGAGCAACTAAACTCGAGAGAATTGTATATATCAAAATAGAAGACAGATGATCATTAGAAAAACAAAGCATGCTGTATAACAAACGAACGCCATATTTCAAGCATCTTTCTTTCTTTCACAAGAGATGTTTCAGTCTTTCCTCATCGACCGACGTCATTTAAGACAAACCCTGATTGGCCCGTCTCTACAGAGTTTCCTATTGGTAGTCGAGACAGCTTTTGCTCACAGCGCGATCCACAAGCACACATCCAGTCTGCACCTTGGAAATAACATATACAGCTTTTCATCTTCTAAATAAGTTTAACTTAAATGAAGTACGACGATTGTTGACCAGTTAGGTAAGGAAGTTTTTACTCTTCTCTACTTAAAATTTATTATATTACTCATCCTTTCTACTCGATAACGCTTTTAATTTCGTTACTATATATATACGTATATATCTATATCTATATATAAATATATTTTTAGTTGTGTGATATATTGTTGGTTATATGTCTGGTCGTTCAACTCAATCGATGGTCTTGTCAGACTGTGGGCTTTGAGTAGAGAAAATTCTCCAGTCTCTTCTATTGTTAAATAACAATGACACCGAGCACGTTTTCGATAGAATTCTCCTTCTCTGCTTACACAGCTTTATTTCTTAACCCCCAATTGATTTCTAACTAATTAATATGCATATTGGTATGTTGTAGTTATGTTTAGTAGATAGACATCCGTGTCTCCTCCACCTGACAGTTAAGAGATGGAGATAAACGCTCATTATTTCTGGTATGCAAATCATGATATTATCTACTACCGAGATGCGAAAATATTTAAAGACAATTATCCACTTCTAAACTTTAATATCTTGACACTAAGCTTAGAATATTCTATATATTGTGTAGGGTATTATTTGAATTGCATCCGCTTTAACGCTATGCTCTTCTGTTTGGTGACGATGTTTAATATTTGTTTAGTTCATTACATTGGATGTCTCGGGTTGACATTACCTCAACGCTTTATTTCGTACATCCGATGTATTGTAGTGACGCCAGATGTGCTATAACGCCTACAAAGACAAGGCATTTTAGAAGAAAGGAACAGGGAAAAAAATTCTGTATTACTAAGATAGGAAAATATCTCGGAGTTTACGCTTGTTTCCCTTGAGTATTGGTGGGTATCTTGACGTCGAACGGATTTTTTTATATTGTAAGGAAACATTGGATGTTGTCTATGGCGAGAGGAAAAATTGTAGTATTTTTTTTTCTTAGTTATAAGATCTTCTGTGCCAATTCAGTTCATATGTTAAATATTTTATTCCTCTATTTTTATCATACTAGTTTTTGGTTTTTATATTTAAAATATTTTTTGTCTCACCAGTGGACGAGTAGATAAAACCACGAAACACTGACAGTTGATCACGTGTTCACGCCTAACCGACGGGTTCACGTGGAGTTTTCTGGATTTTTTCACGTGTCTAACACCTAAATAGGGGTCAGTTTTCCTTTAAAATATTATCTCAGTGGTCAACCCCCTTGATAGAATGTCCATGTGTTGTGTTGCCTTATTCTATCAATCCTAAACTGTCTTTTACGCATGATATTTTTTAGATAAAATTCGAAAAATCGAAAATTCAATCAAATTTTGTCCTTCTGATATTTGATATATTTATTTTTTAATCTTTCAAATTCTGTTTTCAATATATATATATTTGTTTTCTCCATAGATAGATGACCGGCACGACTCTATTGTTTATGATGTACAGGGGCAAGCCACTACTAATTTGAGGTAAGAGTATATATTTTAAGTTAAATACATTAAAAATACAATTAAAAATTGCAGCCCAGCATTATGACGATGTCCCAATAAATAATCGCTCCTTTACATTAAAATCTTTTAATCTCGTTAGTAAAACAGTTCGTAATATTTATCATTATCTTGTTAAATCCAGTTCTTTGACAATTTTAAATAAAGCGATAGACTTGGAAGGCGTCTTTTTTAGATGATTTTTCCATTTTACTTTTCCCGGATGTGAAAAAATGAATTCGAATTTATTTGCGATTCAACTGTAAACAATTATTTAACTTACCGAGCGTATATTTCATATTTGCTATTGATCCTCGTGCCACTTACTTTTATCATCATTGTATTAGATCCACAAACATATAGGGCACGTTACCTAGTAAAGAGGCTTTAATACAGCTGGATAAGCCAGCCAATCACATAGTCCGTTTCATATATCGCTAGTAACCGTATCCAGCTGTATTAAAGCTACAGATTTAAAAGTGAATACGGAATCTTCGATATCTATGGAACTTTAAATGCAATAATAAAATATTCTCTATAGTAATTTTAAGATGATTGAATATTCCCTTTGTTGTGTTTATTTACTCGAACGCAATATTTGAATTGGTGATTTAACCTTTCCCCCTATAAACTATATTTCTTATAAATATAACCACCTACTCGAAGAACTTTCTTCATATTCTTAAAGAAATTGTTAAAGTCTTAATATCTAAATTTACATTGGCTACGTGGAAGTGCTAAAANCTTTTAACAATTATTTTAAAAAAGTTTCTCGTTTGCAAAAAGTGAGATCTTACAGCTTACTTCCTTTAACAATCATTTCTAAATTACAACCCATTAAACGTTTCTTTAATGTCATCACTCTACATTGGCTTCTATAGAAAACCAGAAATCGCTAACAAGTAATAAATTGATGGTTTAATGAACTAATATCTGTAGTACTTTATTGGTAACCTCATAAATCTCTATATGATTTAGAATCGATATATCTTTTATTATATGTAGATATATATATATGTGTTATTAGCTTCGCCTCACGTTCTGAATCTGATTATACTAATTAAGTGCAATACAAAATATTATAATTAGAAAGGTTACACTCTGCAGCCGTTTGAATACTTATTATCTCTTTCCTAACTGCAAATTATCTTTAATTAAATTTATATCTTTTACATAATATAAAATTTGCAACTCATTTTCAAATTTTTCTTTTGGATTGTAAAGGAAAATAAAAATTCTTTACTCAGTTACCTGCTTTTTATAACACCCTTTTTTATTGGCTCTCAAGCAGCATTTTTTAAGTTAAAAACTTTGAAGAAGTCATAAAGATAGAAAAATATTACGTTAATTACTACATTATGAAGAAAAGATCTACACGTTTTTATATTTGGAACGTCCTTTTTAACGTTTTTTTCCTTACATCTTTTCATTTTCTCAGCACACAAATATATGTATGAAGTGTCAAAAATCCATATTTATCTTGGGATTTATTAAAGTTTACAAGTTTCGAAAGCGTTAAATTTATGAGGACATTCGCTTCCCCTGAGCGTGGATGCACGTAAAGCGATAGCAAACCTTGATTTACCCCCTCACAGATTGACTAAACATTCTTGTTGGAAAGTAGAGAGCAACCGAAGCGAAGTTAAATATAAATAATTCGATAAGATGGAGGCGATAATAAGTTAGTTAATTAGATGTGAAGTTTAGCCAATATTATTGGATTAATACATTTGGCTGAGGATTAAATCATCTTATTGGTATGGAAGAGCGCACCAGTAATTTGCCACATATCTAGGACGCTTCCCAGATGAGTGAAGTTCTAAGTCTAGTCACTGAAGTCTTGGGAATTATTATTTCGACATTCGACAGATGAGGATGGTTTGTAATTACCAAGTCTTGTTGCGTTGTAATCGAGTCACTTCTAGATCGAAAGAAAGTATTTCAGTTGCCAAATTGAGACATCGATTATCATCCACAGGTCTAGCTTGTCTTCCTTACTGTTGCTAGAGAGGGAGAGACAGACAGAGAAGGGGAGACAAAAGCTTTATTCAGGAATATTTTTACTTGTTTGTCTACTTATGAGAAAATTCAGTTGGGAGTTGATTGGTTTTCATTGGATGTTCTATAATCTGACAATCTAATCTAATCTCTTATCTAATTTATTTTGAAAATTAAGGTTTACTCTCTGAAAATTTAGATAAAAGAATATATAAATATTAAAATTGCTTTGAGAATATTTTCCAAACATTTTGTATATATTATTCAGGTTTGTTTCTATTATTATTCATTCTGTAAAGATGTTGTTGTTAAAAACATTTTTATTTTGTGAAAAATTAAATCGATTTTTGAAAATAAAACAATTTATGCAGAAAAGATATAAAAAATATGTTTTTAATATTTTCCAGTTGAATTTTCTGTTTACTGTTATAATTTTTCCAGTTATAAAGAAAAATTGTTTTTATTCGATTTTAAATTTAACTGTTGAGATTTGATTTCATTAAATTCTGAATTTAATGTTTGAAATGTTAAATTTTCGTATACATTCTTAATTTTAAAATCATTTTTTCTGTTTAAAATATTTTTAATGTTAACTCCAATTATATATAACTAGAATATTATTTATAATAAATTCTGTAAAAAGAAAAAAGATAATCCAATGCAAGTTAAAAGATGCTTTACCTTTCTTAAGAGAATCATCTGGATAAAATTATATTTGCACATAATTAAGCCAATAAATATAATCAGATTAGTAGATTAGAATAGCATTTTCTGTTACTATTCAGATATAATTTCTAAGTTTGGAGTGTGCTTAAATATCAGAGTTAATGTAAAGATCTTTTTTATGAAGTATCTTCTATATTGAACTAACTTACACTTAGAACCAGAATTAAAATCAGCGGGTTTATTAATCAAGCAAATTCTATACAAATTTAACAAGCAACTAAGATGACCATTGGCGAGGAAATTTGTTAATTACATCACTCATTAAACTAACAACTTTCACCAACAAATAATTGGATGCAAATACATGGTTTCTGTCTTAAATCAGAAACAAATCCTTCCCGTGTATTAGAATAGTAACATTTAAAACGGAATCAATTAAATGATGCATCTTTAAAAATAAAATTAATTAATTAAACTCCCCTATCACCCCTTCTTCCTATCACTAATTAATTAAACAAGATACTGTCAAAGAAGATTACAATATTCCTCATCTAAAAGTTTGGATTTGTCTTTCTCTATTTCTACTATTATTAAAAACTTTGTAGTGCTCCTTATATAAACTGAGCACGTTTTACTAGAAAATTAAAGAGGTTTTATTATCCCAAAGATAATTTGATTGTTGTGTGGTTAATTTAATTTCACGTCAGAATTTTTTTGCAAAATATCACCGCACTACTTTTACCCGCTTTATTAATTATAAAAACATCAATTGTTTAAAAATACATTTGACACGTCCGGTTTAACAATTCTTCTCCAACATTCACACAGTTTCTTTTCTTTTTATATATATATTTTTTTTTTATTCGTTCTTTTTGCAAGTTGCAGCGAG